AACCGCTGACCTGCTGATGTAGCAGTAGCCTGCAGTGCTGTATTTAACCACTGCGCCACCTTGGCTCTTACCCCTACCCCTTTAGAAGAACATTTGTTAGAGTCAGAAACCATGCACAAATGGAACTTAGCATCCTATTACTAGCAGCCAATAAATGGAGTTTTGATGAGCAGTCTCAGAACATCATATGAATAAGTGTGTATAAATATTATGAGGAGATCTCTGATATGCGTTCAGTTCCACACTGTCTCATTATCTGCTTTGGAGCACCACAGCTACATTTCAAAGAGGAGATGCTTCCCCATATATGGGGGAGACTAGTGCACCTGCAATGTTACGTCCTAATTCTATCGTGGCCTCACAGCTCCATAGAATGGGGCAACGGGAAAGACTGTGAGGAGGGAGATTGAATAATATAATATAATCCATTACTTCTGTTTAACTTTCACATACCTGTACCTGTTAATATCCAAGTTTTCTTTTTCACCTCCAGCAACAGGATTCTTTGTTTTCTCCTTCTCTAGTTTTTTTGCAATGTTCTTCTCCTCTGGGGTTGTTTTACAGGAGGCCTCATGAATATTCTCTATTTTGAGAGGTGGTGGTTTGATTTTAGGAGTGGGAGAGCTCTTAGAACGTACAGCAGTTGGAGCCTTTCCTTTTTTTGTTTCCTTTGCCTTAGTAGTAGGGTTTTGAATGACAGGACGAATACTCTTCTTTTTTTCCTTTGTCTTTTTTGCAGGTGTGCATTGAGATTCTCTCTGAGGAGGTGGGGTCTGAGGAGAGGAATATTTGGAGATTGAATTTTAAGTTCCCTTTGCTGTAATTCTGTAAACTGGAGTTGACAATTTGTAAGTTAGAGACTTAACGTCCCGGTATAGCCTATCACTTTAACCTGAGATTTAGGGAAAGGGCTTAATTTACTCTCCTGCAGAGAGAATTGCAGAGTTAAGGCTTTTTATCTATTTCAGCTGCCAACTCCCCTACAGTATATACAAGCATAGAGGGAATGGATTTAAAATGTCCTTTGCCTCTGCCTCAGGTGTTGAATGAGATAGTATTGTTTCATTTTATGTCTTTGCAGCCCCCAGAAATCTCACAGTATTTTTCAAGTAAGGTCAACACTCTTTCTGCTGGGGAGTTGAGGAAGGTTAAAGTGTGCAATTAATGTATAAACTGAACTGAACTGAACTGAACTGAACTGAACTAAGCTAAACTAAGCTAAGCTAAGCTAAACTAAGATAAATTAAGCTAAGCTAAACTAAACTAAATTAAACTAAACTAAAATAAGGTAAAAGTGTGCAATTAATTTATTGTACTCAGCGTGCAGTCCTCAACTGAACTACATCACCACCCTTCAGACCTTCCACAAAGCCCTCAAAACCTGGCTGTCCCAACAGGCCTGGGACTAAAGACCTCAACCTACCCGAATTGTATGAATGTTGTGTTTTTTAACAATGTACTGTCTCATGTGTTTAATTTGTATGTCCTCCCTTCCTTTTGAACTGTAAGCCGCCCTGAGTCCCCCCAGGGGAAAGGGCGGCATATAAATAAATAAATAAAACTACCTACATCTACATGGAAGGAAATGAGCAGTGGGGTACTCCAAGGTTTCAATTTAGGCCCAGTACTCTTCAATAGCTCATAAACGATTTAGATGAGAGAATTGAAGAGAAATTTCATCAAATTTGCAGATGACACTAAGCTGGCAGGAATAGCCAAAACCTTAGAAGACTCAAAAGATCTTGACAGACTTGAGCACTGGGCCCTATTTAACAAAATGAAATTCAACATAGATAAAATTAATAAAAATTAATTCTACACTTACGTAAGAAAAAACAACTGTATAGATATAGACTAAGTCAGGGGTGTCAAACTCAAGAGCTGTGGGCCAGATCCGGCCCACAGGGTGCTTAGACCTGGCCTGTGGGGCCACCCTGGAAACAGTGAAGGACTGGCCTTGCAGTGCCTCTGCCAGTGAAAGCAGAGCTTGGGAGAGCTGCATGCAGCCCTCGCAAGCTCCGTTTTTGGCTGTAAAATTTCCTGCAACCCTCTGCCAATGAAAATGGAGCTCGGGTTAGGGAGCCCATTTTCACTGGCAGAGTGCTCGGGTTACCACAGGAGTCTCTGACACGAGTGACATTGAACTGGCCATGCCCCCCCCCCCAGGTCAAACACAACCTTCATGTGGTTCTCAATGAAATTGAGTTTGAGACCCCTGGACTCGGTGAATCTTGGCTTAACCCCACTATGAGAGGGATCTTGGAGTCCTAGTGGACAATCACTTAAATATGAGCCAACAGTATGTGGCAGTATCCAAAAAAGCCAGTGCAAGCCTACACTGCCTTAATAGAGGGATAGAATCAAAATCACATGGAAGTTCTAATATTGCTTTACAAAGCTTTAGTAAGACCACACTTGGAATACTGCATCCAGTTCTGGTCACCACCATACAAAACAGTGTTGAGACTCTAGAAAGAGTCCAATGAAGAACAACAAAAATGATTAGGGTGCTGGAGACTAAAACATAGAAAGAATGGTTGCTGGAATTGGGTATGTAGTTTAATGAAAAGAAGGACTGGGAGGGTGGTACATGAAAGCAGTGTTCCAATATTTGAGGGACTCCTACAAAGACAAAGAGGTTAGACTATTTTCCATAGCACTAAACGGCAAGACAAGAAACAATGGTTAAAAACTAAGCAAGGTGAGACGCAATCTATAAGTAAGGAGAAATTTCCTAACAGTGAGAGTAGTTAATCAATGGAATAGTTTGCCCTCAGCAGTTCTGGGTACTCCATCACAGAAGGCTTTCAAAAAGAGAGTAGACAGCATTTGTCTGAAGTGATATAGGATCTCCTGCTTGAGCACAGAGCTGAACTAGAAGACCTCCAAGATTCTTTCCAACTGTTATTCTATGTTCTATGTCAGTGATGTTGAACCTTTTGGTAAAGGTGTGCCAAATTTGTTTGTGTGCGCGCCCACACCCACAATTCAATGCACCCTGCCCACCTGTGCATTCAAGTGCGATCCCACGCACATGCATTGTGACCCGCCTGTGGGGGGGGGGTTCACCCTCCCCAGGCTCCAGAGGCTTTCCTAAAACCTGGGGAGGGTAAAAAAACGGGCCCAACAGGCCAACTGGAAGTTTGGAAATGATTCATTTCCGGCTTCTGGTAGGCCTCTGGGAGCCTGGGGAGGCTGTTTTCACTCTCCCCAGGCTTCAGGAAAGCCTCCAGAGCTTGGGCAGGGCAAAACACAGACCCAATGGGCCTTCCAGTTGGCCCTTTGGGCCCATTTTTCACCCTCCCCAGGCTCCGGAGACTTTCCTGAAGCCTGGGGAGGGCGAAAACGGCCTCCTTTGGCCATCCAGAAGGCCAAAAATCAGGTGGCCAAGGTGTGCATGCATGCCAGAACTGATACCTTGTGTGCCAACAAATATGGCTCTACATGCTACCTATGGCATGCATGCCATGGGTTCGCCATCATGGTTCTATGTTCTATCTAAATTTGAGTAACATCTCAGCACAACTTAGGACCTTAACCTGAAATTAAGGCAAAGGGTTTAATACACCCTTCTGCAGGAAGAATTGCAATTTCTGTTAAGACTCTATGTATTTCAGCTGCCAACTCCTGTGTATACAAGCACAGAAAGAATAGATTTAAAATGTCCTTCACCTCTACCTCATGTGTTGAATGAGATAGTATTGTGTTACTTTATGTCTCTGCAGTTCCCAGAAGTCTCGCAGTATTTTTTAAGGAGGGTCAACACCCTTTTTGCTAGTGTTTGGAAGTTGAGGGAGGTTAAAATGTTCAATTAATGTATTGAGCCTTGCAGGAATTTAAGGCATCCATTTAATCTAAAAACTTTACTCCCCATCTTGAGTTGTTTATTTCTAAGTTGAGTGGGTTTAGGGAGAAAAATAAATGCCATAATACTGCATCCCTTTAAATTAAGACCATAAAATTTGACTCAGGTGATAATATACTATCACTGGTTATTCAATATGTGATTCCTGAAAGAAACAAAAACAGCTTATTGCCACAAGGTTATAGATAGCCTTCATTTAGTGACCACAATAGAGACCGACAACTCAGTTATTAAGTGGTCAGTGAGTGAAACCGCAACTGTGCTTATGGTCTTCAACTTTCCTTTCCTTTCCAGATCTAGAAAGGTCATAAATATGCGGATTAGTCATAAAGTTACTTTTTCATCACTGTTGTAACTATGAATGACTGCTAAAGGAGGCAATCACTAACCGGGGACTACCTGTATTGTTTTTGGTCTTAGACCAGGGCTGTCAAACTCACGGCCCATAGGCCAGATGCATCACACACTGGCCACATCCACTCCCAGTTTAGTGAAGGGGAAAAAATCCTGATACATCACATGACGCCTCCGTGACAAGGCGAGTTTGATACCACTGCCTTAGACAGAGAACTTAGTTTAACCCACCCTTTTGTTCCTAGCAATGTATAATAGCAGTATATCTCTTGCCTTCATTATTGTCACTTAAAACCACAGGAAGCATCTTGCTGGAACAAATCAAAGATCCATTTAGTCCAGCATTTTGTGGAAAACAATGATATGATGCATTCAGAAAATTCATAAGCATGAGAAAAAGGAGATAGGCTTCCTCCACTATTGTTCTTTTGCAACTGATCTTTAGAGTATATTTATCTGCTACTTAATTCTTTTGCAAGCAGAGATTATCTTGCAGTATGGGAAGAAACCTTGCCTTGCCTGACATTTTGTTACAGTTCTTGATGGAAAAGAAAAGGATAAAGAGCAGTTGACTTGTATAGATATACAAATTTGGCTGGCTTTGAAATCTTTGCTCAAATCAGATACATTCCTGGAGTAATTAATTCATTCCAATAGTACCAGAAAGTTATGTACTTTGAAACAGAGATGCATTTTCTGGAATTTAAATATATATATGTAAGTAAGGAGTCCATTCATTTCCAGTAAGGGAAATGAAAGATTATTTTCTATTTGTTGTGCTCCCTGATAATTCTCAGGACTTCAGAATTAATACAACGAAAGGTGATCTCACTTTAGGTTTCGGAGGTGGAACTAGAGGTGCACCTTTCTTCTTTAATTTTTGGTTTTCTGGCTTCTGCTGGTTGACATTGGTTTTTGAAGAAGGCCGTAACGTTTGTACAAGCTTTATCCAGCCAACGAAAAGGTTTTGTTGCTGATGTGATGCAGGGTACAGCTGAAGGTAGTAGGTGCGGCCAGTTACTAGTTTAAGTCGCAGCTGCTGCTTTTCCATGTTGTGGATTGAAATCTTGACCAAGCACAAAGGGAATAACCTATGTGATACAAAATGGTTTTGAAACACTGAAGGCTTTTAGATGCAATGTACCTCAAGGTAGGATCTGAAAGGTTCACATGTAGGAAAGCAATTCGTGTTTCCTTATTAATTACAGTCAACTGGTTCTTTATATTTAATAGATGGGTCTTCATATGAATCAGTGTCTTGTGCTGCTCCGTCTAAGTTTCAATATTTGAGGAGTAAACTAGATGACTTTGATGGAGAGATAGAGAATCTGTTGCTTAGACAAAATTTGCTGAACATTTTTAAATGTTCCTCAATGTCCTCAACAAGATAATGTTCAGAAGTAGTTCAGGCAGGAAGGACAAGGAGATACAGAACACCGATATAAGAGAATATTTTAGAATTTAAGAGTTAAACATTGATGATATTACTAGTATGGTAACGAAAGGATTGCAAAAAAGCCATCAAGCTCACAAAATAGAAGTACTCAATGGATAAAAAACAATTAGATTTTCAAGATTATTATATTTACTCTCAATAAATGTGTTTTAGCCTACTGGTTAATTAACTGATTTGAAAAAAAATAATTGTTATAGAAGCTTACATCAATCTTGCAACTCTCATTGTTTCTGTACCTCTTCCTCCTCCTTATAATTCAACATATCAGGGATAAATAGCTTCCAAATGTTATCTTCCTCTAGACGTTAAAAAAGATTCTGCCCCTTTTGCCTAAGCTGCAAATCCTATTTATCTACAACAAGGTTGTCTTATTACTCCATTTAATGTATAGTTTTAACAGGGTATACAATATTTTGAAAAAGGTATGTGCAAAATTTTAGGTGGCTGATGAAAATAGCCTTTGGATTTCTAATATATATATATTTTTGCTTTGGATCTCCCTTATTCCAAAAGTCTGCAGTTGCTAAAAGGGGTTTGGATTAGAGTTCAGAATTAATTCTACACTCCGCTATTATTTGGTCAGAAAGGCAAAAATGCTGTAAATTACAGAAGAATAAAGAAAGAGTTAATTTTCTTCAGAAATCTAAGGCATGGAACAAATGGTATCTTTAACCTTTTACAATATTCACAATTCATAAAGCAAATTGGTCTTGAATTTCTATAAAGAGAAATTGCTCTATTATCATTCCATCAAATCCAAATTTGTATTGTGTTGACATATTATAACCGTATAACATTATACCAATCCAATGTAGATATCTAACCCAATGCTGACTATTGATTAAGGGATTATGGATTCAGATTAAGTACTGGTGTATTCTTTCCAGTCATATTGTATATTAAAAGTGGACATTTTGTACTGGCTCATGACTAAAACAAAATCACTTTTGTTGATGTTGTTTTTGTGTAAAAAGAAAGAAGTGCCCCTTACTGCATGCACTGAGCAATCTAGTCATGAAAGGTAGAGTTTGGGGAAGAACATCAGGGGCAAGGGGGGACCTCAGCAGGCCAGATGATAAAATCTTGATGGACAGTTCAGAAATTACTATTTTAGAATGACTTCAATATGGAACATTTTAATCTGGACATGAGAGTGACTCACCTTTTTAGTTCCAAATTCCCTTGAAAGTGCTGATGGAATATGGATGTGGATTTTGAAATATGTTCTTCAGATGAGACCAAAGAGCTTGCCAGAAGCAGGGTATTAGGGATCGGTAGTGTGGGAATGGTGGAAGTCACTCCAAGTGTAATGACTTTCTTCTTATTGTGGACCTCAATTGGGTTACCTTCCTTACTGATCTAAGTCACATGATAAAGATTTATGATATTAATATTACATTATATTTAAATATATTATATATACATTAAAATAAATTACTATAATCATTACATATAAAATATTTATACTTATTTATGCAATTTATCTAACTCCTCAATCCTGATAGACTCCAGGCAGTTCATAGACTCTCTTTGCAAACCACCAAATATTGTCAAATGATCCATGCTACTAGAAAAGCTTAAGATGTGAAAAGTAAAGCAAACTTCTTTTGATACATGCATGATAGCACAAGGGAGATTGCAAAAACACATTAAGGTGGGATGATAACCAGATAATAGAAGTAAAAAAACATATACAGTGTAAACACTGTATACACTGTAAAATATATACAGTGGGGAGAAGACTGGTTCTCAAAAAATGCCAATTTAAATGATACTGGTATATATAGATATATAGATTTTTTTTATTAAAGCAGGTTTTTTTTTACACAGAATAAGAACAGTACAAACTTTTAAATTAAAGATAAGACAAATGGGAAAAGTAATGAAAAGTGAACAAGAAATGAAAAAGAAATAGAAAAGAAGTGAAAAAAGAATAATACTTCCAGTATTTTTAAAAGTGATTATAAGTACATTTATACTTTATTTTAACATGATCCTGATTTTTGAAAACTTGTTATCCCTTCCCTTTATTGCTTTTTAAATAGCTTTATTCCTGTCCAGATAATACTCAATCTCTCAGCCAATAACTACCCTGTTTTCCCCAAAATAAGACATCCCCCGATAATAAGCCCAATTGGGCTTTTTAGCACCTGTGCTAAAATATGCCCTCCCCCAAAAAGCCCTTCCAGAAAATATTGCAACACAGCAGCAGCCATAAGGTGATCATGCTCCCTGCTTCCTGCACCTTGAAAATAATAAGATCTCCCCGAAAATAAGGCCAAGTGCTTATTTCGGGGGTCAAAAGAAAATAAGACCCTGTCTTATAAGACCCTGTCTTATTTTCTTTGAAACACAGTAGAGAAACACATCTTATCTGGGGGAATTGTTTGATTCTATTATTATTAAGATGTAATCTTTATTTTGATTCACAATCTAGGACTAGTAATAACTTAATAGTGCAAGTGCTAACCAAGGACCTAAGAGCTGGTTATTAAAAATTATTATTATTATCTCTCTTATTCATTAAACATGAAACTCAGTCAACTGAACATTTAAAAATGTGTCACAAATACCACTGACTGGTGCTGATAGTTAATATACGTTGCTGCCACATCCTAGGTATCCACCAAGTATCTTCTTAAAATATATGATGTTCTGAGCAGCACAGTTCTTTGCAGTTCTGCTCATGTTATTGCTGGAAGCAATTTCTTGATGTGTTTTTTAAAATTCGGACATGGTACCAAGGGCCCCAATGACAATGGGTATCACTGTTACATGTTTCATTCATAACCGTGTAGTTTCAATGGTCAGATTGTGATATTTCTGATTTTTTCCAATTCTTTTTCTTTGACTCTGGCGTCTCCTAGTATAGTGATATCAATAAACTGTACTCTTTGGTCCTTGACAACCGTGATATCTGGCATGTTGTGTTCCAAATGACTATCTGTCTGTATTCTAAAATCCCACAAGATCTTCACCATTTCATTTTCAATAACTTTTTCCACTTTATGTTTCCATAACTTTTCAGATACAGGTTATTATTTCTTTTATTCATTAAACATGAAACGCAGTCAACTGAACATTAAAGATGTGTCACAAATACCATTGACTGGTGCTAGCGATTGATACTGGTTGCTGACAGCATACTAGGTATCAACTTGGTTGATGCTGTTGTTGTTGTTGTTATTAAAGATGAAACTCAGTCAACTGAACATTAAAAAATGCATCAAAAATACCATTGACTGGTTCTAATGGTTGATACAGGTTGCTGCCAGTGTCCTAGATATCAACCAAGTACCTTCTTAAAATATACGATGTTATGAGTAGTGCAGTTTTTTGCAGTTCCGCTGGTGTTATTGCAATTTGTTGATGTATCTTATAAAATTCTTGGACATGGTACCAAGTGCCCCAATGACAATGGGTATCACTGTTACATGTTTCATCCATAATTGTGTGGTTTTAATGGCCAGGTCGTGGTATTTTGTGATTTTTTCCAGTTCATTTTCTCTGACTCTGGCATCTCCTGGTACCACGATGTCAATAAATTGTATGTTTTGATTTTTGACAACTGTGATATCTAGCGTGTTGTATTCTAAATGATGATCCATCTGTATTTGAAAGTCCCACAAGATCTTTACCTTCCCATTTTTGTACATACATCAGATGATTGAAGAAAAAAAAGTTACTTTTTAAAGAATATCTGAAGGAATCTCTGAATATTTGAAGAAGATGCACTGAAGTCAATAAGGCAGGAAGGCTTATTGACTACTGAAGAGACCAAACTGACCTACAAGAAAGATCAAATGAAGAACAGAATGGAGTCATGGGAAGACAAAGAAGCACATGGCCAGTACATTTTTAAAAAGCAGGAAAAGCAGATAGCAGACAGACTAGCAATATATAAGAGCAGAAAAGTTGAAGAAAGAGACTGAGGGACTAATTCTGGTTGCAAAAGACCAAGCCTTAAGGACAAGTTCATACAAAGCCAAAGCTGAGAAGACAGCAACAGACAGTAAGTGCCACCTATGCAAAGAAGCTGAAGAAACACTGGACCACCTGTTAAGCTGCTCCAAGAAATTGTACAGACTGACTACAAGTGGCATGATAAAGTAGCAACCATGGTGCATTGGAAGAGCTGCAAGAAATATCATCTGTATGCAAACAGAAACTGGGACCATAAAAAAAATGTCATAGAAAATGAGGAAGTTAAATTGCTCTGGGACTTTATCCAAACAGACAGGTAACTTGCACATAACATCCCAGATTTAACAATTGACGATAAGAAAGACAAAAAATGTCTGATAGTGGATGTGGCGGTGCCTGGAGACAGCAGAATACTGTAGAAGAGAAAGAACTGGAGAAAATAGCAAAATACAAAGACCTACAAATAGAAATAGAATGACTGTGGAAAAGGCAAACAAGGGTAGGTAGTATCAATAGTAATAAGTGCCTTGGGTGGAATTCCAAAACAACTGGAGCACTACTTAAACATTATTGGCATTGGCAAATTCGCCATCAGTCAAATTGCAAAAGGCGGCTTTACTGGTAACAGCTTCCATTCTATGACGATATCTGTAATCTCATTTCACCTCCTTTCCCCCAAGCTCTCTCTGAGAGAGAAAGTACTTACTTGGAAGAAATCGCTTTCAAACATGGGGGCATACTGAAACATGTTATATTCCCCCTGATGTAATAAGTTTTCTAGTGACTCCATTCTTCTGTACAAAAAGCTCTTCGTGCAGGTTGTTTCAGGCCCAACACCTCAAAGCTGTAAATCCTTTGAGCTATAAGGGAAAAAAATACCATTCAGAAATATGGCTAATCTGGTATCCAGATGTGAATATTTACTTGCAAAACCTGATATTAATTTAAGACAATAAAATTTATACTTATATGTGAAGTACAAATGAAAATCACTTTTCCAAATTTGTTTTGAGTTCAAATTGGAATATTTTGCATATCTTGGAATCCTTGAAACATTTTCCATTTGGATCTTAAAACTTTTTCATCAATAACATAGGCATTGAAGTGCATAAATTATATTATTATTTGAAAGTATCATCTTCACCTATTATTTAATTTTAAACATGTTTTTAATGCAGAAAACTTAAATTTGCCATGAAAAAGCTTCCTATCTATAACACTATTGAGAATTCTTCACTCAATAAGTTAAAAAGGCAAAACTTCTTTGTAGGGATGCTTGTTTATGCAGTAGAGTTGGAATTGTTTATTTCATGCATTTGTATTTTCCTTCAGGGAAAAAAATAAACAGAGCCATTCAGAACAGTAAATTTGGATCTGCATTGCAGGATCATCCCAAGATATTTTAGATTTGCTGCTCTAGGGAGCAAAAGATACTTTCCCTCTTCCTGCTGTCATTTCACGATATTCCAAGATCAGCATGAAGCTGGTTTATTATTGTACTAGAATTATTGACTTATATATAGGAAGGACAGAGTCCAGATTTTCTTGTTAAAGGAGATTGTAACATAAGGGACATCTTCTATCAAATAAGTTACTTGATACTCAGGTCCATTGTCAAGTAGTCATTTCATTTGAAAAATATATGAAATAAAATAGGTCCTTCTTAGCCAATACTAAGAACTTCACCTTCATACCGCCTTTCTTTTCAGCTGGGTTGGGTTTACTTCCATGAGATTCTCAGGAGATCTGGTTTCCACATTCTCCTATTAAGAGTTGCTTATAAATCTCTAAATAAAGTGAGTAAGTGACTTTGCAACTACCACAGTGTCCCGATGTCACTTTTAGAGTATAGGAAAAAGAGACCTTGGATAATAGGATTTGTCTAGCAGTGGCCCCCTAAGTAGCAACCTGAATATGCAGCTGACTCATCTTAGATGTGTCATTCAGTGAGCAGCAAAAACATGTGGACTTTTTTTTCCAATCAGGGAAGTTATTGCTAAATTTATTTCAAGACTGTAGCTTTTAGCAATTGTATTTTTTACTGTGACCTTTTTCATCAAAACTGTTTCATTACAATTAATATGTGATTATTTTTTAATGTCATTTTATCAGACTCCTTTTTGTTGTAAAATTAGGGTAGAACTCCAATTCTGAATTTCATAATTGAGTAAGTATATCTATCCTGGAAGTTCATTTTGCTTTCATGTCCATTTAAACCACCACTTGCTAATTTCTTCTGATCACTAATTTTATATGACAGATCTTCATACTTTCATTTCATTCCCAGACTGTTGCCGAAATATTTTAAGGGGGGTATGTTGAATCTGCAGCCCACAGGCCACATGTGGTCCTGAATGTGTAGCCCCACAAGATAATAAATATTTTAACATTATTATGAGATTTATATACATTAACAATATTATATATTTTATATATGGCCCAAGGCAATTCCTCTTAACTCAACATGGCCCAAGCAACCCATGTTTTAAAATCATATTCAGTGATCTCAGTTTTAAAATAGAGCATTCTTACTTTGCTAACACAGTTTTTACTTGAACATCATTTAGCATGCTTCTTGGATAATATTGTTGTTGATATGGTAGGATCTGTTCAGCTTTTCTTTAACAGTTTATTCTTCTTTCAGCAATCCCCCTCCCCTCCAGTCACTGGGCATTGTAAGCCAAGGCTATTTTGGCTTTAATTACAGAAGGGACTGAATACCTGGCTTGTAGAGAGATTTCTGCTTCTATAATACTTGACTTGACAATTGCTTCTTCATGCCTTTCTCAGTCTCTATATGGGTGTCTGGTACTATATGTGTATCTTATAAATGCTAAACCTAAGTTTAATTACTTTTGAAAATGCAATAAACCTGCATTTTAAAAACAGAATTAGCACTCTGTTTAGAAAATGCTAGTTTAGAACTGTATTTATGGTTAACTTAAACTGAGAAAGTAAACTGAGTTCTGCCAAATTTGTTTTCTTACCAGTGAACACATTATAAGTTTTCTTCAGTTTTTGCTACAAAGGAACCCAAATAACTACCCTTTTTACGGGTTTATCATATGTAGGAATATTATTTTGTCTCCCACAAAAGCTACTCCTGGATCCTTCCTCCATCACTTTCCTCTGCATCTATTAACTCAACTCATAGGTAACAGACACTAAGGAGAGGTAGAAGGTGATTTGGGAAGGAGATCTCCTGATCTTTCTGCTCAACACTGCTGCCTCCTTCAGTATTATCCTGCATACTATCTCTTTGCCTGTAATTTGTCATGCAAACCTATTTCTAGGTTTAATGCTTTTAAAGCAGCCATAAACCTATGTTCAGAAATATCCTAGCAGATCACAAGTGGAGTACACCTCCATGTTCTAAAATGGGCAGCGTGGCCAATAGCTAAACCTGCCATTCAAAGCATCATCTATACTTACCCAGAAAAGCCATTGATTCCATTTTTTTTCACTACTAAGAATAAATAAAGTCAGAGGAATCTATCAATCACTTTCCTTAACTTGTTCACATTAAGTTGTAAGGACATCACATTTTCCTGCCTCATTGTTGAGGCATAAGAGAACTTGGGCATCAGAACAATAAAATTTATGCCACCTTAGTTTTCTGCTAACCCAAGGACTGATGGTTACAATTTAATGTGATTCTAGCTGTGTCTGTGGTTTGTACTGAGTTTTTCGAAAAAAATCATTCTTTCGAAATCTCTGCCTCTTTCTTCAAATAACTACAATTCCCTAAAGATGGATGTTGTCTACAGTATGTCTTTTTAATTAGACATAACATACTAGTTTACTTGATAAATTTTATGATTGAGCAAAAATTTGTATATTCCATGAGAGAAAGGCAAGTCTTTTAATAGTTGACATATATCTCTATATATGTGCTGAGGTCATAAATTAAAAGGTTTTTTAGAGTATTAACTTGATATATGTGATTTTAGCAACTTGCAATTTTGAAAGAAATTTTCATTTCAATAGCCTCTTCCTACTATTGTCTGAACATCTCTGTTTTGGGCCAAGGATCATCAGATTAAATGTTTAAATCTCTTTTTGTTGTCCAGACTTGGGTTTAAATCATCAATGATTATTAGTCAATAATTAATATTAAATGAAAAAACTTTAATCAAGCACAGGTGTGCCCGTGTGAATATACAAAGTACCTTTTGTTCGTACCTGAATTACCAGAGTCAGCTCCCCCCAAGGTGGGGTTAGAAGGTTCCGCTTCCAAATAGACATAGTATTTTAAGCAGCTTTTAGTCACTGCATGTTTTCTGTTTTGAAACTCTTGTTCTTCTGTTCTTAGTGTTGAGAACCTACACTTACCTGTACTCTCTCACTGTATGTTGTGTTGCCTTATCAGCTGCTGACACTCAACAATGACATTCATTGTCCCCCTACTTTCCCCACAGAAGCTGTTTTATGACATCACTAATGTCTTTATTATCATTGTAGTTAGGCATTTTCTCCTGAATTAGGACATAGAGACATTATGGACAAATAGATAATTTAACTTACTTTATTGCAGTTTTTCTGTCCAGAGAAATATAATAACAACATTCAAAATTCAGCAATAATATTATAATGATTTCAGATGTGATGAAAATTTTAAATCCCAATGCATAGATTTCATTCTTAAAAATTACTCACTTTTGGGACTAAAGGCTTGGCTGCCTTCTGGACTGCCTTATATAGGGAGAAAATATAAACTATAATCCTGACATACCTTTAATAGATTATCTATATATCATCTATATAAAACATGGAATTTTAAAAGCTACTAGTTTCTTTTGAGGGAATAAGCAATACCAATCTTTCAAAATTATTTTCTAGTGTACTCCACATGATAAAACTGTTTTTGCTGGTTATTGCTGCAGGTTGTAGGAAAAAAGTCAAATAATAGTACATTTAGCTGGTGCAATTAATGCCATATAAATAATCAGTCAATATCCTCCTATTTTCACATTTCTATTTTGAACCAGTTAAATGATCTTTAAAGGCGGATGTGACCAGTAATCCTGATGTCTCCAGCACATCAATAACTTTAGCTAAGTCTGCTTTCTCTTGTATGAGGGAAAACTGCTACACAATGAAATTTCTTTATTTACAGTTGAGCTTGTCTTTCCTTAGTCCGTAACCCACCATCTTTGTTATAAATCTAAATTCTGATATTATTAGAGGAAGAAAATTATTTTTCCCATTCATTCTTTTTATGAACTTGATTTTATAAATTATCTACATGAATCTCTCTTACTGCCTCTTGCCAACCTCTCCCCCAAGCCCCAATCTTCCAGCTCTAAATACTTTAGACTTTTTCAGTAGAAGTTTTCTTTTCCTAAATTTGTTGCACTTTTTACAGTTTTTCTCATTTTACTCTATCTTTCTGAAGACTTTTAGAAACATAGCAGTTTTCTTAATATTGCTAAACCATTATGTTTTGTTGAGTCCAGTTGAAATTATGGAATTAGATGTGATGTCGCAGTGGTTAGAATGCAGCATTGCAGGCTAATTCTGCTGTCGTCCAGGTGTTCAGTCCTTACTGGCTCAAAGTTGACTCAGCTTTCCATTCTTCTGAGGTTGGTAAAATGACCCAGATTGTCGGGGGTGGGTGGGTATATGCTGACTTTGTAAAATCGCTTAGGGGTGTAAGTGTATGAAGTGGTGTATAAGTCTATGTGCCCTTGTTATTGCTATTATCCATTTTGTTTCATCTTAGCCATATTGATGAGCTGTCTGAATATTCTAAAGGGGCCATTTAAATGGCAGGTTTGGCTCATTTTGCGG